CGACCATTATAGATTTTTTTAAAACAAGCTTTGATTCTTAATGCACTTTAGATTTTTTTTTTTCATGTTTTTACTAGTTTAGCATTGCTTTTAGATTCATTATAAGTTTCAGTTTCATGCTATTTTGTTTCCATTATTTCTTTTATGCTTTTATTCTATTCGACAATCCATAATCTTTTTTTTATTCAAGCTTTTAATCTTTGTTTTATTAGATCTAGTACATTTGGACACATTTAGAGCTTTCCAAGTGATAGTTGGATAAGTTGAGTCTAAGCCTATATTCGGTTTTCATTACTTGTTTTCTTTCATATTATTTTTGCAAATCAATCAAAGTTTTCATTGGTTTAAATATAAGAGTTTAGTTTATCACTTTTGGTACTTGAATCCATCCAATAATTTAATTTTATAATTCTCGTGGGATGAAACTCTACTTTCATCACTACTATTACGCGATGTGATATGTGCACTTGCAAGCATTACGAAAATAAGCCATCAACAACTTTGTTGACAACTTCAAGAATCATTTTAAGAGTCTTTAAGGCATATTTATCATCTTAAGGATTCATAACATCAAGTCTTAATTTCCTTTCTTTTTGGCAACCCCAAAAGTCAAATCCAATTCTAGTCACAAATGGCTAATCAACCTAGACTTTCGATAAACTCAAATCTTACACTCAGTTCCTCTTAGCAACCCCAAGAATCAAATCCAATTAGCCATAAATGGTTAATCAATTTAGACCTTCGATAAACTTAGTTGTTACTTTCATTTTATCTTGTAACCCTAAAATTCAATTTCAATTTCAACCATGAATGGCTAATCCATTTACATATTCGATAAACTTAGATCTTTTCCTCATTTCTTCTTGGCAACCCCAAAAGTCGAATCAAATTATAACCACAAATGTCTAACCCATTTAGATTTTTGATAAACTCAGGTTTTATCTTTACTTCTACTTGGCAACCCAAGAGTCGAAATCAAATTATAACCACAAATGGCTAATCAAACTTAACCCTCAATAAACTCAAGTCTAATCCTCACTTCTTTTCAGCAGCCTCAATAAGTGAATCAATCTCAATCATAAATCATAAAACTTAAGTTAATCTCAAAACTTTTGATTAACTTAAGTTTTGGTGATTTTTTATGAAAATCCCAAAAATTATTCTAATTCTTGTTGACGGCCCCAACAATCATTCAAAACTTTTCCAATATCAACTTAATCTTTCAAACTATGTTTGGGTCTAATTTTTTCATAATACGTAAGCAAATCTAATGCAAGCGGGACCCTACAAACAAAATCTTTTGGCATAAAATCCCTAAGACCTTTTAAACCTCCGTGTGACGAAGCACTAGCTCCAAAACCCAAAACATGACCCAACCGATCAACACCCACATCCATTGATTGGTTCACCTTTGTAAGATTACTTAGACCCGTAATTTAAAACATGACATGAACATGATACGAATATAGGACATAAAAGTAAAACAACTTAAAATTTTAGCAATAACTATAAATAGGTTTAACAAAATAAAAAAAAATTATTTTATATTTTCGTGTTGACACAAATTATAACACGTAATTTTCATCTAAAATACAACATAAATACATAAAATTTAATATTTTGTATGATATGAATAAATGAATCGCTAAATCTAAGATTACTTATCAGTTTCATTTTCACCTATCTCTTCCATACCTACCTTAAGACCTTGATCCTATCACTCTAAGAAATACTTATCCAACAAAAACTCTACCCAAAAAGTTTCAATCCAATCAAAACTCTACTTAAAGAGTCTTAATCCAACTAAAACTCTACCCAAAGAGTCTCAGTCCAATCAAAACTCATCCATAAAAATCCTAGTCCAACCAAAACTCTTCCTATAAAGTCTCAATTCCACCAAAACTCTCATAAAGAGTCTCGATCACTAAAAGATTTCTAAAGGGTCCCAGATCCATCAAAACTTTGTCCAAAAAGTTTCTACCAAATTAAAATTCTTACAAAGAGTTTGATCTAACTAAGGCTCTGCCTGACGATCTGGAGAGTTTTAGTCAAGATAAAACTCTACTCAATTTAACCTAGCTAATAGGCCCAGACTTCCAGCTGTTATATTGGATCTTGCATCAAATAGATATGTTGAGGCATAATTCCTACAAACCTTTATGCATTTTAAGCTTTTCATTAAATTATGAGCTTGTTGACATATCATCCATGATCACATATCATTTGAAATTCTTATTTATTTTACTATTTAAGATGGTGGATATTTTCCATGTAAATTCACATCCTATATGTCATGCATTATCTTATTTTTTTGACTTGATAAAAGCAATGAGTTGTATTAAATATGTCCTTAAGATATCTTTTTATATAAACTATCATTATAATATGTCATATAGACTACATTGCAATTCATATTTCTTTGGTTACATTTTCTTGTTTTATATTATGACATGAACTGTTTTATTTTTATAAATTTGATTAATAACATAATATTTGCATAATTAACGGTTGATAAATCACTTGAAGTTGCCAGTCCACATGCATTTTCCAATATGTACGCATTTAGCACGGGACATATAAACTATTCATATGCATTACTTGTTACGAGGAATAAAAATGAGAGACATGCTTTTTAATCCATAAGCTAGTCAAGGTGCTGGTCTAAAATAGATAAGTAGAGGTTAGGTTTATTCCAAATAGGGTTTATAGCTTTGATTACTCTAATATTATGTTTACTATCTCTAAACCAAATTCTTTAGTAAAAACAAAACTATGACCTTGAAACCAACATTGATTCTCGAGACATAAATAAGCTGATTGGTGACTTCTAATCAAACCTTAGATTTCAACACTAAGAAGAACACTAAGGGTGAAACCTATATTGCCTACACCATTAAAAGAAGTGCTTGAATAGATGAAAATAAAATTTATGGGCTTAATTAAAAAGTATCATTATTTGTTAATAAAGTATTAAACTATTAATTTTGATGATTATGATTCAAATCTTAATAACCTTAATTTAAGAAAAAAAATGATTTATTATCTAGATTTTTTTAGATAATATAAAGGCCTTTTATCTTTTTAGCTTTTAAAATTCAGGTCTGATGTAGATAAAGGAGTATTATGTTCAAATGCAGTCAAAAAACCCATTCACTAATTCCTTTACAAAACTTGTTCACAAAAACATCTTGAAACTAAAAAGAAAAAGGTCTATGGAAGTTACATCTTTATGTTTAAATTTGAGAAAAAGATATGAAAGAAAAAGACTTCAATGGCACAACAAATGGCATAATATCATTGGACAAGCCTATAAATGATGTGGTGGAAAGGGCCTACTCAATAATTTCTCCTTTTACAAGGCTAGACACTTTGTAAATGCTTAATTTGTCATCATTTATCTAATTATTAACCATTCTTAAGGAACTCTAATTTCATTAGGCTTTTATCACTTTGTATTTTGTGAATTAATTCTTATCTTTAATATGATATTTATTCACATACACCAATTATATACTCCATATCAACTTAACTTTAGGATATGTGACAAATTATAAAGTTAACCCAATAACTAATGCCCAAAAGAGATTAGAGATTTGGAAGAAAATTTTCAATTCAATCAAAGTTTTCAAAAGTTCAAAAATGAATTTACTTATTTAGATAAAAATAAGCAACAATTTCAAAATTTTGGAGATAATGTTAAGAATAATTTCTGAATTATAGTGAAATATTTAATGTAGTACCTAAACTTTAAAAATAACTAATGTGGTACTTGAATTATGTACTTGTTAACTGAAGTGGTATTTGAATTATTGTTTGTACGCTATGTGTCATCATTTTAAGGTAGTCATGTTAAGGATAAATAACAAATTAGTTAACAAATTTATAGTTAAAATATTATATTATAAATTTTTTAAGTTTAAGTACTACGTTGGACATTTTACTATAATTCAAAGGTCATTTATAATATTAACCCAAATTTACGTAGAATTTCAAAAAAGGAATTTGAGATGCTTAAATTTTCTTTTAAAATTTCACTTAACTAGGTGATTTTTTAAAATTTCTCCAAATCTTCTATCTTTTTATTGCACATTGCATGCCTTAAAATACAAAACTAAAAATATATATAATTTTATTTAATTATAATATATATTTTTAAATTTTATATTATTAGTAATATCTATATATTTTTACAAATACAATAACACCAATATTACATATTTTGTTTATGCACATATTTTTATCTTTAATATCAATATTTTTCTTTTATAATTATTTTTTATTTCATCAAATTGTAATAAACTAAATTTCTTTCTAAATAATATTTATTTAAAAAATAATTACAAATATTAACATTTTAAAATGATACATCAATTTAAAATGTCTTTATTTTAATTTTTTTAAAATTATAAAATTTTCTATCCATACACATTGTAAGAAAGTTTTGACTTAGTGGTCTCAAAGTGAGATTCACTCAAAAAACAATTATTCTTAACCTTTCATAATGAGCTGGGTACTCCTCAAGTGTTCGACCGGGGAACTAGAAATTTCTTGAATTTTTAGATTTAACCATTCAACTCTCAATCATTTTTTTTAGTTTGATATTGACTTTCAATATTTTCAAGTCCATCTTTTTATCAGATGCATGCATTTCTCTACCGTTGTAAATAGCTAACCTTTCTCAATAATTGGGCTATTCTTGTCTTTAAGTGGCACTAAATTCTAAGCTTCTAATCTCCAGATTTTTCTTCTCTAGTCTACTCGGTGTTTTTTCCCCCAAATATCAATCTCATAAGAGCATCTCTTTCCCTCATCGCTAGCAAAAAGATTTATAACAAGATTCAAACCTCTAACCTTTTAATTTCATAACAAAAGACCATATCATTATTCCAAATTTATATTTTTGTTAAATATTTATTTATTTAATATTAATCATATATTTAATATTAAAACCTCCTTTTAACTGAAACAATGAATTTTCTTAAAAGTTAAAAAGACTTGACCTTCACTAAAGAAATCCGAAAACAAACTATTAAATAAAGAAAAAGAAAGCCCTACATATTAACATCTATTCTATTAACAAAATATTAAACTTTTATTTTCAATAATTAAACTCAAATTCTGACAACTTCAGATAAAAAAAATTTTTTTTCCTGATCCCTATACATAAACAAAAGTACCAAAAAAGACTTATATTCAGAAATGCCCATCAGTAGTCAATCACTTTTCCGCAGACCTCCAAAACATGTCCAAGTATGTACTGGGAATTGGCCAACTGGCACATAATGCAGCACGGATTAGAAAGAAGCACCACATCAGTATACGGATTAAAGCACAAATAAACATTGATAAAAATTATCAGAAAAATCCCACAGAAAATCAGTAATCTAACTATTGGTAAAAGAAATCATTGATCAAATGCCAAGAAAAGATTTACCGATTATATCTATGTTCACTAGTATCCTCAACATCAATAGTTAGCATCTGACGATTACCACAGCTTGCCCTCATCACAACCACCGGCACAGATTCTCTAGTCTTGTCCCACGTTATCCCAAAGAACTGAAACCAAGACAAAATGATTCATCACTTGATACTATAACGAAGATGATAAACAAATTACAAGAGAAAGAACCAGTTCTCAAGATATGAGTATGACAGATCAACAACTGATGACAGTGACGATGTCCCTCGGGTACGAGGCACAAGAAAACAAGCGAACAAATACAACATGCATCTATATAAGTACAACACGAATCCTTTTTTATTACTATTATAACAAATTAAGAATTCAAATATCAATTAAGATTTTTTAATATGTTCATTTTAGCTCTTTTTTCTAAATAAACACTGTACAAATTAAGCATCAAGAAATGTGAAAAGATCTTACAAAATTTGCACAGTTAATGTTAAAAGACATTTATGTTGCAATCTTGGGACAAAAAAAAAGTCCAGACTTCAGATAATTAGAGGATAATTTGTGTGAAAACACTTAGTTACAGCTAATTGTAATCTGTAATCCTAAAATTAAGTATGTTGTAATCTATATCCCTAGAATTAAGTACTTCCTAGCTTTAAGATTAGGATAAATAATTCATCAATTATAGAGATCAATTTTAAGAAGATTTAATTTTTTAATTTACCATTTAGTTAGTTGTATATAAACCTAAAGTGTTTGTATAATTTGACAAACAAGTTTTTCTATATACTCAATTTTTTTCCACATAGTATCAAAGTATTAGGCTCTTTTTGGGAAGCAAAATTTTCAACCTTCATTATTGACTTCTATTTTAAACCTTCATTGTCGAACCTGTTAAGGCCTTTGTAGCCATATTTTTCCCTTCTTTAGCCTTCATTGCTAAGATTTATTGCTGGTTATATCTTAATTGTTAAGACTTATTTCAATCCAAAGAAATATAACAATTTCAAAAATAACAAAATCTACTACTGCTACTACCCAATTTAACGAAATGATAACTAATAAAACTATCGGAGTATTATAGAAGTCCTGGGAACAAGGAGAGTTGGATAGAGGAGATTGAAAAACTGAGAAGCCTATTGAAAACCCTTGGAAAGCTTACTAAAGTATGTTCCTTGAGTAAGATCTCTGGTTCAAGTAAAGCTTTTGGCTCTCATGAAATAAATTTCTCGGTTAAATTTATTACGAGTTATAGGATCATTAATTTGAGCTACATAACACATAACACATTCCTCATAGAAGCTTAGTACAAATACCTTGTGCCCTAGTAATAAAAAAATTATTGTGGCAAATGGTTCACTTATTACAGTGGCAAGATTAGGAGATGTTCAAATTAATCTCTTTTTTGTTCTTAAAAATGATCATGTGCCTTGATTGTCTACTAATCTGATATCTATACAAAACCTTACTAAAGACATGAACTACAAAGTAACTTTTTATCCCTCTTATTATAAATTTAAATACCAAAGTTCGAGGATGAAGATTGCACTTGCTAAGGATAAGGATGCAATATACTATCTTAACACACCAAACAACACAAGTAATATCAAGAATAATTTACCTTTGTCATTTCTTTCTGAAAAATCTCGCAATAAAAACAAATCTGACTTTATCATTTTTTTCTTGGACATCCTTCCTTTGAAACTTTGAAAAACATGTTTCTTTCTTTGCTTAAAAGATTAAATGTCAAAAATTTTCATTGTCATGTTTGTGAACTTGCAAAGCACAAACGTGTCTTTTCTAGTTAGCAATAAAAGAAATTCTACTCATTTTTACTTGATTCATAGTGATATATAGGGTACATTTATAATTTCTAATATTTCTAGTTCAAAATGGTTTGTTTCATTCATAAAATGATTATATCAGGGTTTCTCAGATTTTTTTATTTCAATTCAAATCAAATGTGAATAGTATTTTTTAGCTTCTAAAACATGATCCAAAATCAATTAGAGTGAAAATCAAGAGATTTAGGTTTGATAATGCAAGACAATATTTTAACAAAAGTCTACCTATTTTCAAAAAGAGGTGATTATCCATAAGTCATTTTGTGTTAATACTCTATAGCAAAATGAAGGGACAAAAAAGAAAAAACGCCATTTATTAGCCACAACCCAAGCCTTACTTTTTCAAGCAAACATACCCAACTCGTACTGGGGGAAATTGTTCTTACTGCCACACATTGTAAATTGATTACCTTAAAGGGCTTTGAGATTTAAAACTCTTATGAAACTACTTTTACAATTCTATCCCAACTTTAATACCACAAACATCCTCACACCTATGATATTTGCCTGTATATCATTTGTTCATGATTCTATAAAGAAATTACAAGTATACTCAAAAAGGAAAATTCCAGGTCCTAAATCATGCAAGTCTAAGAACCTAATCCTAACTTTAGAAATGAGGTAATTAGAGTCTTTGACTCTATTTTTCAAAATGAGAATGGCTCTGCTAAAACTAAAACTAGTGATTATGATCTAACTATTGCCATTAGGAAAGGAACAAGAGAATGTACTAAGCATCCACTATACCCAATCTCTAATTTTGTATCATTTGAAAATTCTCACTATCCCACAAAATTTCCTTATGAGCCTAAACACTATTTCTATTCCAACTACATTATCTGAGGCAATATCTAGTGAGAAATGGAGCCAAGCCATGAAAATATAAATAGAGACCTTAGAGAAAAATAAGATATGAGAATTGGTAGAGTTGCCTAAAGGAAAAAATCCAATTGGGTGGGTTTTCACTATAAAATACAAGGCAAATGGTCATGTTGAAAGGTATAAAACTAGGTTAGTGGCTAAGGATTATACTCAAACTTATAGAGTGGATTATTAAGAAACTTTTACTCCAATTGCCAAGATAAATACAATTAAAATTTTGTTATCCTTGGCTACAAATTACAATTGACAGCCTCAATAATTTGATGTAAAAAATGCTTATTTACATGGTGATTTGGAAGAAGATATATATATATATATATATGAAGGTTCCACCCAAATTTGAAGGTCATCTAGAAGCAAACAATATATGTAAGCTGAAAAAGGCTTTATATGACCTTAAAACAGTCCACTAGGGCTTGATTCGGGAGATTTGTCAAAGTGATGCTATCAATGGGATATAAGCAAAGTCAAGGATATCACATGCTGTTTATCAAGCATTTGGATTCAGGGAGAGTTATGTTCTATTAGTGTGTGTTGATATAATTGTAACCAGAGATGCTGAAAAAAAAAAATCTCTAAAACAATGTTTGATTAGAGAATTTGAGATAAAAGAACTAGGAAGATTGAAATACTTCCTAGGAATTGAAGTAGCTCACTCACAGTATGGTATTTTCATCTCACAACAGAAATATGTGATGGATTTTTTAAAGGAAACTGAAAAGCTCGCATGTAAACCTACAAATACCCCTATAGATCATAATTATAAACTTAGAGAAGCTAATAAAAATGCTACTGTAAATAAAGAGATGCACCAAAAATTAGTTCAAATACTTATTTACCTCACATACTAGACCTAACACAGAATATGTTATGGGTGTGGTAAATCAATTATGCATAGTCTTAAAGAAGTGCACCTACAGGTTGTCTACCGTGCACTACATTATTTGAAAACCAATCCTAGAAGAGGTATCTTATTCAAAAGAAATTTGAAGCTGGTTCCAGAGGCATAAACAGGTGCTGATTATGCAAGTGCAACTAATAAAGGATCCACCTCAGGCTACTGCACTTTCTTAAGTGGTAATCTTGTGACTTGATGGAGTAAAAAACAGAATATGGTGGCAACATCAAGTGCTAAAATAGAATTTAAAGCAATGGCTCAAGAAATTTGTGAGCTACTATAGTTAAAGATTATATTAGAAAAAGATCAAGTGGGATGGACTAATGAGACTCTACTATGATAATAAGTTTGTGATAAACATTGCACACAATCCTATGCAACATGACAAAACAAAACACATTGAAATAGACTGACAATTCATAAAGAAAAAACTAGACAATGGGTTGATTTGCACACCATATGTATTAACCAAGGGTCAACTTGCAAATGTGTTGACTAAAGGTTTCAGTAATGCAACATTTTAGGAAATTATTTTCAAGTTGGGAATGAAAAACACCTATTCCCCAGCTTGAGGGGAAATGTGGGAAAACACTTGGTTACATCTGATTGTAATCTATATACTTAGAATTAAGTATGTTGTAATATGTATCCATAGAATTAATGATAGAAAATTAGGACAGACAATCCTTCAATTATAGAGATCAATTTTAGAAAGATTTAATTTTTTAGTTTACCCTCTAGTTAGCTATATATAAACTCTAAGGTACTCATATAATTTGACAAACAAGATTTTTTGTATACTCAATTTTTTCCACACATTTAATTAATTAATAACTACTTACAAGGGTGATGCATGTCTAGGATGATACCAAAATGATAACAAGTTTGTTAACAGGCATCAGAAGAATAGTCTTGTTCAAAGAGGTTTTTAACCATTCCAAGCACACTGAGGTGAATTAAGAGAAATGGTAATGTGCCACTAGTAAATGAACAAAGAAGCAAACATGTAAACGTCAACTACATCAACAACTCTAAAGCAACTTCAAGGATATAGTAGAAATGATACACAGAAGTATTTATTTTTTTGGTTGGCTATTGTCCTAATGAAAGTTTCTTATCCCATAAGATCCTAGTATCACTATTTAGCCCAAAAAAGAATGCAGGTGTGATGACACATGAAAAGTGAGAAACATTCACCTTAATATATAGAGTTCGCCCTTTTCTTCCTTTTTGTGTTTTCTCCATTAGATAGTAATAAAACAACTCCCAATTGCACTTAGAAAGGCTAGAGAGAAAATGCGAGATGGAGTTAGGGATAGATGGAAAGGTTTGAGAGCTACAGTGGACTGGCTTTGGTCTTTGACTAGAGATTGAATTTTTTGAAGTGGCTTTGGAAGTTGATAAAGAATTTATGCTCAAAATTGAAGATCTTATACATAAGAGAAAATATTCTATCTTCTTGGATGTTTCTTGTTTTCCTTTTTTCTCTGGACATATGATATTGAGCTATACAATAAGAGTTAGTTCTTTCCCATCCCATAAGCCCAGCCCCTACTATCCCAAGATTTTTAACTACTGTTTGTACCCTTGGAGAATGTCCACATAATTCTGGTATGAGAGGCAAGGCAAATTGGAAGAAGGCCTAAATCTTTGAGAAGTACTGCTTTTATAGTTGAATTTCAACAGATCTAGAAGAGATGAGTGATGTATCCCAAAGGGTCTCATTACCAAACGTTAAGTTTGTACGTGGCTTGGTGTTACTAGCTGAAACATACTAAATTTTAAAGAGTCCAATATTCTATTCCCCCAAATTCCATTCTGGTTTTGATACAGGATTATCTTGGACCATTTTGCACGTTTACCAAACATATTAAAGTTTTCTTAGGAAAGAAGCCTATGTTTTTCTTTTTTTATTTTCAGCCATTTTCAAGACTTTTTAGTCTAGAACAGAACAATGGCAAAAAGATCAAATATATCAAAGAAGTTTCATTAGGGAAGTACATGTGATGTTTTTAAGTTTCATTTTGGTTAACTTGGTATGAACAAACAACCCCTAGAAGGTGGTTCCAAAATCAAATCTCTAACCTTATTTATAAAGCCCTTCTTCAAAAATGATTTTGGAGTTATATGGTGGAAAAAGAACATATTTGGCACTTGTGACTATTGCTTTGTATATAAAGAAGTGGTGGTTAGAAACCTTATGGTTCTAGTGTCTGAAGTAAGTTGGAAAAAGATAGCAAAAGTTCTCAACTTACATTTCTTCAGGGTGCAGAGTGTATAGTCCATCTTCTTTGGCATGATAATTTATTTTTAATGCCAAGAAATAAGGAGGCCTTAGTCAATGTTTGATCACATCTAATGAGTGGTTGCTATGAAGTGTTCTTTTTCTGAGAAATGAGAAAGATTGGGACTTGGAAGACTTTCACCAATTTTTCCCACAAATCAAAAAAATAAATAACTAACAGAATACCAATTTCTTTGATCTACTTTATAGCAAGAGTAAGTTGGTCAAACCGAGAACTCACCTAGATGGAGAATTTGTGAAGAGTTTGCTTACAATTGAATTCATTCTACCAAAACATCATCATGGATGATGTAGAATGGGTGAGCTTTTTGGCGAAAAATTCTACCAAATAGATGCTTTCTTTGTAAGCAGCAGTAAAATCCATCCATCTTTTGTTAAGTTGCATTTGGGCTATGTACTGCTAGGAATGACTTAGGTAGGGGCAACTTTTGTTATAGAGGAGTTTTGAGCTTTAAGAGGTTTATGTTCTTGTACATAAAATAGAACTAATAAAATTAATTCCTCTCACTATTTTTTTGGGGGAACGGGGGATTTTAAGGATGGAGAAACAAAATAACTTTCAAAGGGGAAGAATTGCCACTATTAAAAGTGACAAATGGTCAAGTTCAGGTTGGGCTATCTTTTGGTTCAGACCATTTCAAGTTTACATTGTCCCAAGATTTTTCGGATTTGGGTTCACTTCAGATTGGGAAGTTTCAGATTCAGGTTGCTTCAAATTTGAATCCTCTCAGGTTTGGGCAAACTAGGGCATGCATAGTTTAGTACTTATTTGGCTATGGTTATATTTTTAATTTTTATTACATTTGGCATATTATGATTATAATTATATATGAATTTATCATTTCTTTTTTGTTTAATAAGTAGACTAAAATGAATAAAAACCATTGGACTACATCAAAGTAAAAATCATGTGGCTCCAAACGAGTTTGACCTATCAAATTTTACCACCTCTAACCACTATCAAAGCTGTTAGCTACATAATTTGACGAAATCTCTAGAATAAAACTATTTTATTCTTCTATATTTTTCTTATTACAATACTAGAATTGCATTAAAATATATAAGCTAAAAACTGAATATTCTCAACCTTAAAACCTAAGATTTTCATGCATTAAAACAGCTATCAAAGGAGAAATTTACTCTCTACACATAACAAGACAATTATCTAATGGATTTGGTGTACTTATCCAAATCACTCCTTATTCTAAAAATAAGAGATTTAACAAAAATAGATAAAGTCAACTAATCAAGTAATAATGAAGATTAAATTTGGAACATATGGAACAAAATGAAGTGTCATTACTTTGAAAATAATAACAGAACCTATACCGATCACTTTTGAAAGTGACCCATCAACAATTCGAATTGTGAAGTTTTCATGACGAGTTGTATTTAATAAATACAAATGTAGCCCCAATCATATGGTCTGAAGCTCTTGAATCCGCAATCCATGAATTTGATTTCTCTAATTTTATATTCAAGGCACTTAGAAAATTACCTTTTTGTGCTAAAGAATCTATTCCAATAACACTAACTCTAAGGTTAGAGGTAACCTCCAATGCCGAGCTCTCCCTTTTTCTAGCTATGTTGGACTTCGAGTGAAAATTTTCAAATGTTCAGATCATGCTCTGATACCATGAAGAAATCTCTAGAATAAAACTATTTTATTCTTCTATATTTTTCTTATTACAATATTAGAATTGCATGAAAATATAAAGGCTAAAAACTAAATATTCTTAGCCTTAAAAGGCAAGATTTTCATGCATTAAAACAGCTAATCAAAGGAGAAATTTGCTCTCTACACATAGTAAGAAAATATCTAATGAATTTGGAGTAATTACCCAAATCACTCCTTATTCTAAAAATAAGAGACTTAACTAAAATAAACAAAATCAACTAATCAAGTAATAATGAAGATTAGATTTCTATATAATTCTATGCTTTACCTTTTTTTTTCCTAACTGCGACTAGTTTTTGGATGTATAAGATGGTTACTACTTGGTTGTCTTATCTACCGAGATCTAGCCTTGTCCATGGGTTGGCACCCTATCAGTGCCTTTTAATCCTACGTTTTCTTCATTTTATTATAGAAAAAAAGAAGGTATAATAAAAGTTCCACAAACAAAAGAAAGAGTGCAAATAAGGTTCTTTACCTCCGAGGAACACCTAACTGAATGTCCACCACAACTAACAATAACATCACAAGGGAGTATTCCAGCAACTTCAGCAGGGGACCCCTTTACTACCTGATGAGGCACAATTAAAGAAGTCAATTACAAACTAATGCATGCATCTATTCCTACAAAATATATGTCTACATATAGACTACAATATTTTTCAACATATTTGTTATTTCATATTTAATTTATTGTTAATATCACACTGTAGGCGAACAAGAAATGATACAAAAGGTGCCTTGGAAGTTTTGGAATACCTTCTCAATTAAGTTTCAAAAATTGCAAATGGTAAGAGTGAAATACGTACACTTTAAATGGCAAGTTCCGATATCTCAATCTTAACATCTTAAATTGAATAAAGGTGCGACACGCCTTTAGGTTACACTACAATGTGTAAGTACAAATTCCATAAAGACAATTATCTTTTTTTGAGTTCAGCAGGAAAAGAAAAAGGCTTCTAATATAAAGAACATTCAAGCACTGATTAAGGCTGGTCCACTAAAGACAACATAGGAATACAAAACAATGGCATCAGCAGCAACAAGAGAGATTTTGTCACAATCAGATTAGTCTTTGGGATATTGTTTCATGTATACCCAACCAACCGATTTAGCTATTAACTGCTAGCCTCAACAATCCAAATGGGTGTATGAACCAAAGAGTAATCAAGAGCAGTTAAAAACCTCGACAAACCACTAACTCAGAAAAATCAGAAAAAAAGCTCATAATGACCATTGTGAAATAGAAAAGTGCAAGCCAACTAATCTTAAATATATCTTAGTGTTGTTAGCCAGCTGAAAAAGAAAATGAAACTCAAATATGGGATATAAATATCTAGATCTGTTAAAATTTAAAGCATATCTAAGATTTTTTTTGCATATTATGATAGAAATAGAAGATAAACGTAAAATAAATAAAGCATGAAACTCTTGTAATAGAGATATGAGAATTATTTTTAATTTCACAAGATATGTATGGCAATGAGAGGATAGGAAGAATAAAATACAAAAGTAAAAGGAATTGGGTTACAAAGAAAATGAACTCACAGAGAAAAAGGGGAAAAAAGAAGGGGAAGGGGGGTTTGAAATTGATGAACAAAGGCAGCCTTTCAAGAGTGGTGAGCAACTAAGCATGCTTTGGAATTTCCAAACCCTTAAATTGACATGAGAGCCAGCTGACGAATCAATAATCAAAAGTATTATTATATACTAAAAGAGGGAGTTCTTATCGGAAGTGAAGGTGCATGATAGCAAAAACCATATGATGCAAAATGAACGGATACTAGCTGGTCCTAATTGAAATAAGAGTTATAGTTCTTTTGGGTTTAGGAATTTCTTCTCTTGTCTGTACTTTATTAAATTTTGTTTGATTTCACCCAAGAATTCAGATTAGAAAAATGACATAAACCTAACCACCTGGCTATCTTACATCAGTTTGATATTTGACTTGTAATGAACCCTCGGTGTGAAGCTTAGGTATTCTTCTATTCTTCTCTTTCCTTTTATTCATTTTTCTGTTATTTCCTTGGGACTTTTATCTCACAAAAGCAGCCATAACCCTAACAAAAGTTAGCTGTCCTACATCACAATGGGATGAAAACAGCAATCATTTGAGAAAAGGTACCAAAAATAACATACCTTTTCAACTACAACACCTTCAGAAATATGAGGGAACTTTTGAACAATTTTCTCCATATCAGCCAAATTTACTGCATAAAAGTTAGTCAACTCCATCCCAAGCCAAGGACGATTGACACTTCTGTTCACAAATAAACACAATAAATAATATGCTCATTTCTTTCAAAATCACATGAAGTGGAGAATACTTTTTCTAAGTTTTCATTTGTATGTACTAATTAACATTTATGAAAACTATATTGATTTTAAGTTTTTATATATAATTAAAGTAGCAAAGATATATGAAACTTTTTATAGTGAAAGAAAAGAAATTAAAGTTGAATAGTTAAAAACACTAAAAAAAATTTTCAAATTGCTCCAAAAACACATTGTTTTAATTTTAATATTTTTTAAATTAATTTGAACAACTTTCTTTGACTCATTTAGCAAGAACTAAAATCAGCGTCTTCAATTAAAACATCTTGTGCATGCTGCTATAACTAGTTGTTATGTAAATTGAGCCTATCCTTTTCTTTTTGGCACTTTTAAATTGATTATCAAATATATAGAGAGAGAGAAGGGATCAACTTACACCAATGTAAAATTTTTTAGTTTTATACCTTTGTCTAACAATTGATTTCAATAGATCTAAAAGATGAGAAAGACAAGTCAAAAATAGTAAAAAAATGGTTTTCTCTCATCCCTAAGCTCTATTAAAATCAATTATTAGAAAAAGGTTGAAAACTAAAAAGTTTTACATTGGTGCAAATTGATTCTTCCTCTCATAAATATATATATATACATAAATACATACATACATATATATATATATATATATATTCCTCCCTGTTTTCCTTCTTTTCGTTTCTTTCCCTTTACCTCCTTTCATTTCTTTTTTTCCTTATTTCTTTTCTTCTTTCTTACCTATATTTTCTGTTTTCCCTATCCCCTCTTCTATTCCCTTTAGTTCTTGCCACCACCAACCCCTAATGCTGGATTTCTACTTCAATTAGTCACTAGTTGTTGAGAAAATTGCAAAAATATACCATGTGGTTAGATGCCAAAGAAATTGACCCCTTAGATTTAAAAACTGACACTTTATCATCTTATGATTTCTTCCATTAATTTTCAACTCGACATACACTATTACAAAAAAAGGGGTTGGAAAGTCAATGAAGAAAGATGAAAATGATCAATGATGTTAGCTTGAGGCAACAAAAAAATCCGCAAAGGGTTAAGTGTCACTCTTTAAACCATAAGGGCCTATTTATTCCACCTGTAACCACATGATGGGTTTTTAATTTACCCTTTTTTAAATAAAGCCTATCTTTTCCTTTTTGGTGCTTCTAAATTGATTATCAAGAACATATATTTTGTCATCCTTTTCTTTTTTCTTTCTTTTCTATTTTTCTCCTTTCCTTGCTTTTCCTTTTTCCTTTTTTCATATTTTTATTTTTTTCTTATTTCCTCTTTTTTCTTCTCGCCACCACCACCTCGGATGTCATTTTTTCTACTTTCCTTAGTCACTCAATCTGGCTTCATTGGCATTAATCAGGCCATCTAAGACCAAATTAGGCAGCAACAATTCCCTTGCCCTCTTCCTCCCTCCCTCCTTCCCTCTTTCTTTCTCTCTAAGCAAGTTTTGACGGTATTAGATCATCACCAACCAATGCCAAAACAAGTCAGCTCACCTTTTTCCCACCCTTGTTCCTCTTTCTCTGTCCCACTCTTTTGGCCCTTCTATTTTCCCAATTCTCTCAACTTAAAATAGAAAATGAAACCCCAAACACCCAAAAAAAAAAAAAGCAAAATAACAATTCTGGACATAAAATTTTTGAAACTCCCATGAAGCCTATGACTCCTTTGACTTTTCTAATGCATTTTATTCATAGATTACCATCATTTTTATTGCAGTCATCATTATCATTAAAAAACTTGGTCTAGATTGCATTTCCTAGTTCAACTATAACAATTAATTTCACATCTAATGCTATATTAAACTTTCACGAAGATAAAAACACCAAGTTTGTTAATAAATGATGTTACAACAGCACCAACTATAACAATAATGTGTAATATATACAAAAACATGGATTTTGGGAAAAACTTTTGCAAGGAAAAAAAAATGCCATTAAAATAATCCTAATTACCTACAAAACAAACTAACTATCAAGCACAAGTTCATCTAAAATACTACTTTTATTCTTTCTACTTTCCTAAAAAAAGAAGCCATAATTAATTTTCCAAACTTTTAATAGAAATAAAAAAAATTTTCTCATGTCAAAATTCAATCTTCAATGTAGGGTAGGAAATTGCAACTTTTTTCACTTTGTACTATTCCTTCCAAGGTAAAACACCTTTTTTCCTTTTCAAATAAAAAAAAAAAAAAGTCAACTCCATTTTAGACTTAATCAATAACTTATAACTCACTAAACAGGGATTAATGAATAAAAATAATCAGAAAGGTTTCCATTTTATCATGAAGAATTCATTCATTTGGGTGAAAAAATTTTACACCCTAAAGGTTTTCACAAACATACACCTATTGCTCCCACAACTTCAAAAACACCATTTGTTCCCAAGGGACACTAATCATCCATCTGTCAAAATAAGTCCATTAGTCAAAATAACACAAGTCAATAAGTAAATAAAATTTCCAAAATACCTGAACTTCTCACATCTTTTTTTTTTCTTTTCAATAGTGGTATAGTAATGAAAAGAAAATGGCAGATGCTTTTCATTTGAACTATTTGGATTTTTTTCTTTAGCTTTCTGTTAACCAGATGAATACAGTTTGAAGAGCTCTCAAATTCTTTTTTTTGTTTTTTTTTTTTTTTTAGTTTCTTTGATCCTAGTTTGTTTCCTTCTCATCTTTGTTACCTTATTTTCCAAATAAAAGTTTCTTTAGCACTCCAAAAGGGAAAAAAAAACAAAGAAAATTCATTTTAAGGAGAAGAAAAGGAGAAAAACAAGAAAATTGTTAAAAAGATAAAGAAATAGAATACTAAAAGAAATTAGGTAAACCTTAGTCATTTAATGGGTAACAATTTCTGTTACTTTTATTTTTCATTTTAATGTTAAGACAAATGGTTTGTCAACACTCCTACATTTTCAAGGGAACAGTGGGTTTTTTTAAAACTGCAGGGAGAGTCTATTTCCCATTGAATCTCATCAGAGGATGGTAATAATTTTCCTAACTCATTTTCTCAACTCCCAAATTCAAATACTATGCTTAAAGTTTTAGACGTCACAGTAAGACTTTAAAATGCAAATATAATTATACAAAGCTCATGTGCAATGTGATCAATCACATGCAACATGGGTATTGATAACTTGTATGAAAAGTGACCTAAACATCAAATTAAGGGCTCCATGATCTACATACAAAGTTGAAGCATCACAGAGAAACAAACTTTTTTTTAATACTCAACAAAATAGATTTGAAACATACCTCTGAATCTTTAAGTGCTCCAAGCATCTATAAGCTATATTGATTGGTAGGAAAGGTGTATATCTCTCATGATAGAAATTGATCCCAATAACTTCTCCAGCACAATTGATAAGAGGTCCCCCAATGTGAATCTAGAAAAAAATTACCATCAATCCTAGGACGCTGGCATACAAATATAAATTTTTATTAAACAGTAGCACATATACTAAGTTTATCGCTAAAAATGAATAGAGCTTTTAGCCAGTTTATATCGAGTATAGCTATTATCATGTAATAGACACACTATGCTTTACAATTAATTAAAATTTTAAATATAATCAAAACATTTTTTTTGATGACTAGAATTTCTACAAAGCACATGATTAATTTTCATTGAACCTAGCTCCAAGAAAATCAATATGGCCAATTTTAACAAAAGTTATAAATATCAAATTTTTTGCCTTACTCAGCTTCAATACCAATTGATGCCATGACATACGGTCTATATACAGCATCTAAAAAGCATCATCTACAAATCGAGGAACAATATTCCATCTTGAAAAGGAATAGGCAAAGTTAATTGAAACATTTGGATCCCCAATCTGTCTTAGGTTTTGTAGAATGTCTTTGCTAACATATCCCCTATCAGACATATATCCTCCACAACACCAAAAAACCCAAATCAATCCCAATGTTCTACTCAAAACCCAAATTAGTGAATTACCTAAAAGCCTTCATTCAAATGGAAGCCTAGAATCCACCTGCTAGTCACCATTCACACCCAAAACTCAAATAGCAATGAACAACTCAACAATTAGCATGATATATTTCAGTCAACAAGGCTCAATGTGTAAATAAATCAAGGCAACATGAACTTGGTAGAATCTAGATTAGGGAAAGAAAGTTAGAAAAGAGTGACAAAACATTGTGAACAGGAAAGATCTTTGAGAAGGAAAAGGGAGAGCAAGACCCCGGGGGGGGCGGAATAGTGATGAGAGAGGGAGGTAAGTTAGAATTTGCATTGGAGTGACAAAAGAAAGTTAGCAAAGAGTGACAAAACAAGGGAAGCATCCTTTCAATAAGTGAAGTAATTAAGAAAAATAAATTAAAAAAATAAAGAAAACAAATGATGCACTTTTGAAGGAATATAATTTCTATTTTAGTTCAACCATCCAAACAAAGGATAGTGTTAGAAACAATGCAATTTAGTTCTTTCAATAATGGAATACATGGAAAATGCTATGTAGGTGAATTTTAAATAGAAGAAAAGATGTTATCGTTTGTGTAGGATAAAATTTTAAATAGTTTTTTTATCATCACAAAGAAATGAGAACTAGAACCTACAAGAAGGAACATCCTTAACTAATCTTACAAAAGGCATGACCCTAAATAGAGTAAACTAAAGCAAAGTAAAACATGAGAGAAATTAGTAAAATTAGCCCATTCTTAGATCAATTAGCCGTAATTAACTAGAAGAGTAGAAGAGTATAGCTTCAATCAAACTTGTAACCATAATATGTAATTATGTTTCTCTAGTGTAGTATGCATTTTGTGACCTCAGCACAAGTGGTAAAACAAAAGTCAAATTCGCAAAATATAGTTACTAACTGTACTGAATATAGATCTCACTTCTTACTTCATTAAGCATTAAGAATTGGAAAATGAACTGAAATTCATAGGTGTTAGCTAGACAATAGGCATAATTGAAACTAGATCACTAGATGGAACTAAAATAGCTTAAACCCTTGACCTTTCTTAACCTGAGAAAAAGCATATATACTCACCTGCCCTTGCTTGAACTATCTTACATGCTAGTTTTCCCTTGTCTGGTGGATTGTCTTTTCCAACTTCAATGCCAAGGGGGATGTAAAGGCTTGCTCATCACTAACAACCTCACACAAGGGAACTTAAATGGAAAGAAGTGGCTTTCAAAAAGGGGGTTAGCTTAGACCTCCAATTGAGCTTGCTTTTGTCTAAGGGGGACTACCCATAAGGAATCTACTTGGACTTTCAGATTAGGACTCCAATTGAAAAAAGGAAAAGATATCAATCTATGCTAGCCACACTTTCCACTACTGATCTAGTTGCTCTAGCTAACTTGCCCGCAAATCGACTTGCCAATTCATTTCATTGCCATTTGAACAACTTGATAATAGGTTTGCTTTTGCGCCTTTTACTCTTAACCTAGATCTATCTCTAGCCCTACCTTATGAAAAGAAAAGGACAACCTAGTTCATTCATAACCTACTTTTTTTAAGTTCTTCCACTGAAAGACATCTCTAGTTTGACCTCACCCATGAAAAGGAAATGAAATGCCCAAAATGCAATAATATGAGAAAAGGGAATATAGAATCTAGTAAGTCCATATCTTATCGTTTAGGCCTACCAAGGAAATCAATCTAGCCCTCCAATCTATATATGTTATACCACCCAGGTACAGAAATCTATCTAGTCTAGAGAGTCCTATAAAGAAAAGACCCTAACTCTCTTTTTTATCTCTAGCTTGCTTATCGCACTTCCACTGGCTCTGCAACTCAAACTTAAACTTACACAGGATCTCAAAGCAACCGGAGGGGAGAATCAAGAAGCACTTCTAGGAGGGAACGACATCTATCTCGGATCCCTAACTGGTAAAGTCTTCTCTATAGCCCTCCACCGTCGTTGAGACTGCCACTGTATGCCTTCACTCTCAGTATGAGATGCTAACAAGTCTAGGTAATACAGCCGTAAAAGAATGCTAGCTATCCTCGAATCTCTACTCGCTTTCTGGATCTATCTTGCTTTTTTGACCCTAGAAATGCATAGAATGAAATTCCAACTTAGTAAAGTGATTCCTTAGCTATCTCATTTGACTCATCTAAAGAGAAAGAGTTAGAGCTATTATCTAGCTAACTTCGTTTACAGCCCGCATCTCAATAGATATAGTTTCCCTCATCCCTATCAGGGCAAGCATCGAATTCAATATGTTAAGCATATAGCCATTCCTTTCCTAAAGAGGGGATTCGCAGATGAAAGACCGCTTACGCATTCAGTACCATCGGTTATTCCAGCAAAGGTAAATCCAGTAATCAAGGCACTAATAACTGCGGTTACGAAGACAACAACGGAGATTTTTCAAGCAGCGGATGAGATCACACCGCTTACTCTTGTTGCAGCGGCAAGGAGAACTCTAACAGCGGATAGGCTTACACGAACACTAACCCAATCTTGAAAGTGGAGTAGAATAAATCAACTGGCATACCTTTCATCTAGCCTACAATCCTTTCTTTCTTCTTTTAGGAAATTTTTAGTTAGAGAGAAGGATCGCTCCGTCATGCAGCCGTGATCAACTATACGATACCACGAGACAACCAAGAGGATCGGTAACGATTAACATTTGTTCTCACGGAGCAGTAACTAGTCTTTAGCATTCATCTTTCTATCAACGGCTATTAAGGAATTCCTCTGCACTTATGCTGCCTTCACTCAACTCGCTCTCTTCCAATTCCTTTTCATCTACAATGTATTCTTGACTTTTAGGTTCTGACTTCAAACGGTTAGAGCCCCTTATCAATCCTTTCAATTAGTTCTGATTCGGTTAGCTACAACGGATGAATCACACAGAGGCGATCTCGAACATCAGAATACAATATTGTCAAGAGACAGAAGGCCTAAGAGAGATGGGGAACTTCTCTCCTCTTCTCTCCTATAAATCTTCTTTGCACGAGCTTCTGTAAGCCTATCTTCTCTCCGAAAACATACTCCAATTACATGTGTTAAGCATAGTGCCATTTAATGTTGATCGATCGGCAAGGCTAATTCTACGAATTAGATCCGCTGCAGTCTTTTTCGGCAGGACCTAGACACGGAGGTTCGGGAAGTAGCGCGTGCCAGCATTCACTGGTGGAAGGACTGGCAGCAGCGAGACCATCATAGTTTACATTGTTGGAGATCTTTGAGAAGGAAAAAGGAAAGGAAGAAGGGGAAATGGTGAAGAAAGAGGGAGGTAAGTTATAATTTGCATCAGAGTGACAAAAAAAAGTTATCAAAGTGTGACAAAATAAGGAAAACAGCTTTTGCCTAAGAATGAAGGAATTAAGATAAATAAATAAATAAAATAAAGAAAATTAATGATGTACTTTTTGAAGGAATATAATTTCTATTTTAGTTCAACCATCCAAACAAAGGATAGTGTTAGAAACAATGCAATTTAGTTCTTTCAATAATGGAATGCCTGGAAAATGCTATGTAGGTCAATTTTAAATAGAAAAAAAGATGATATCATTTGTGTAGGATAAAATTTTAATAGCTTTTTGTCATCACAAAGAAATGAGATCTAGAACTTACAAGTAGACCTGGCAATTCGCATTTCCGTATCATGTCTCATGTCATGTTTGACAAATGTAATGACACGAATTATTGAAACACAAACATAACACGAATTATAAAACATGTTTAAATTCTAAACATGAACATAACATGTTTATTATATGTGTTACACGAGACACGACACGATTAACACGTGTTACAATTAATCCGTTTAAATACGATACAAATAAACATAAATAACAAGAATATACACAAATAGACACGACTAACATGGATATATACGAATAGACATGATAAACACGAATATATACAAGAACACAACTAAAACAATAAATAACTATAAACTATCCATCATTTACAACTTAATAAACTTGGCATATTAATAATATAAAAAAGTACTTGCATATTAACAAAAATAAAAAAATTTAACACCCATTTATTATGTAATTAATATATATATTTAAATTTTAATATATATTACATAACTATATTAATTTTTAGTATCAAATTCAAAATGATAAACTATTAAAAATTAAAAAATAAAATAATAATGTATAGGACTAATATTAATATTTATATTGTATTTATATTATTAATATAAAACATAATTTTGTAATAATTATTAAAAGAATATCATAATTAAATGTTTAAAACAATTTTTATATGATATTAAATAGCTAATTAAATATCATAATTAAAAGATTAAAAATTAAAATAATTTTTATATGTTTATATTAAATTAAAATAAATATAAAAATGTATTAAACGTATTAAATATGCTAATTGTGTACTTGTATAATAAGATTAAATTAAATGTGTTATTCGTGTCATATCACATGTTTATACATGTCCACAAGTATAAGATCTGAATTATGTCGTGTTGAAATTCATGTCGACACGAATAAACATTAAACACATTTTTTAAAACACATTTATGGTTTTTTCCACGTTTTCATATCGTATCATCATGTTGTGTCTGAAATTGCCAGGTTTACCTACAAAAAGGAACATCCTTCACTAATCTTACAAAAGGCATGACCCTAAATAGAGTAAACTAAAGCAAAATAAAACATGAGAGAAATTACTAAAATTAGCCCATTCTAAGATCAATCAACCATAATAAACTAGAAGAGTATAAGAGTATAGCTTCAATCAAACTTGTAACCATAATAAGTAATTATGTTTCTTTAGTCTAGCATGCATTTTGTGACCTCAGCACAAGTGGTAAAACAAAAGTCAAAAGTCACAAAATATAGGAACTAATTGTACAACATGTAGGTCTCACTTATTACTTCACTAAGCATTAAGAATTTGAAAATGAACTGAAATTCATAGGTGTTTACACAATTGGGCTTTTGGTCTGAATAATCTAAAATATTAGACAAAATCCAAAATGAGATAAACACTTCGTTTGTCCTTAACAATCATTTTATCTACCCCAAACAACCACTACTATATCACCACACCAATCACACTATTTCAATACTACCTTAACCTAAGGATTGCACCTCATTGCTACAATCTGACCTTAATGCCAAATTTGGTCTTAAAATTGTTTTCTTTTTTTTTTTTTTAACATACAAGAAAGTCAAAGGGGAATTGCGGGATTCAAATTTTAGACCTTAATCTAGTATAATTGCACTATACTAAGGAGTAACAAATGACAACCACTAGGCCCAATATAGGTTGTTTCGGTATTATGTTGTTGATAATCTAGTATAATTGCAGGTTATGGCTAAAATCATCTTAAAGTGTTTAGCAAAGCTCTAAAAATCAAATAGGGGAAGATGGTGTTTATGTCTCCAAACTAACTTACAAAGCTTAGATGTAAGACAAAGCAGATGAATATCAAACAAGGGAAGATGGTGTGTATGTCTCCAGAGTAACTTACAAAGCTTAGATGTAAGACAAGTAGATGAATAAGTGAAGTTTGGAGCTTAGCTCATGCAAAGCTTAACAAAGAAACATAACAAATTGTTTTTCGTTCCTTGAAATGAAAGTTGGATTCCTATAGTTTTCGTATTCTTTTGGTATGAATTAAAATGCATACAACCTATTTGATTTCACAAATTACTAGTATCTTTGTTCATAGTGTAGAATAAAAAATAAATGCCTTATTTTATTAACAATGATATTCATATCAATACATTCCTCAAATATATCACCGATGCAAGTATTGCTAACAAACACTTGAATACAATCTGCAGCTTTCAAGACAATACACCGTGTTTCAAATAAACATGCTCTTTCAAAATTATTTGAGATCAACTTAACAGAACATTCCATATGAGATAAATTATTTGTAGCAGAAACTTCTCTCGCTAGTTGCCTAGTTCCCATGCAAATCATCACCCCCAACACATTTTGGATGTGTGGAGTTTGCAATTATCAAGCATCAACATTTCCTTGTCTATGGCATAATCATATTAACTTAGATTGAATAGCTGTGCATTTCAAAGAGACAAATTAACAAAATATGTCATTGGGTGTTGGGGCCCAGGAAAAAAAGAAGGTAAAAGGGCCCAAAAACTAGAGTACACCAACAATATAACATATAAGAAAAATGATAAAGTAAATGTCATGTGTATATGAGAGAGAGAAGAATGTTCTTACTTGAGAACCCATCTTGCAAGTTGACATCATAAGCTCTTGACAATCAAATTCACACAGCCCAATACTGGACAGAAAAGAAGAAAGAAAAACAACAAAAACAAGCATAAGCGAAGGATAAGGGCTAGTTCAGTGCTAATGGTTAAAGCATTTGGATAGATTGACTAAATAAAACTTGGAAGAACATTTAATAGCAGCACAAAGGAAACTTCAAAATAGATGACAATTAATCAGAACAATTTCAAAAGATTATAAATTGTACTTGTGATAATATGCATACTAACTAGAATTCAACAAAAATGATTTAATTCTAACCTAGTGCACCCATCAAATATGATCGAAGCTTATTGGCCAATCTTGGTTATATATCTAGAATAAAGAGGCCACCAAATGCAATGGCAAGAGCAACAAAATTCGTTAAAGGCTAAAGCTGAGTTTGATTGAAAAGAACTGAAACAAGTTAAAAGAAAGGCTGACTTCGTTTCTAACATACGTGAAAGAGCCAGATGCAATCACAAGACTGTGTGAATGGTAATGGCGCCCCAGGGCCTTGACCTTGTCCCCTGGACGAATTTTAAATGAATCTGAATGACGAGGAGATGTTGAATTGAGCGCCGGTTGCAAAGTAACAGGTATGGATTCATCCAAATTTCTAAGGGATGGTGTTGGAAATGGGGTATCAGATCGGATCTTTATAACGGATAGGTTGTAATGAAAATCATATGCAAAAACTTCACCCTGCAATAATTTCCCATCTGGTAAAAGAACATCAACCTGCAATCGGATAAATGTAAAAGCATATTAACAAAATAAGTAAGAAAGAAACATTTTGTTTTTTTTTTTAAAAAAAAAAAAAGGCTAGGTTGCGTAAACCTTGATATCGGGAGCGAGAGAAGCAGCGCCAGAGGGACATCTGAGAAGACTGGCAGAAGTTAGGATGATACCAACAAATGTACCATCACTCTCTTTGCCTCCACATTCTACAATAGTCCCCGAGCAAGCAAATAACTTATCCTTGCCTGTAGCATTCAGTTATTGCCTGTTCAGGTTCAAACTTTACCCCCAAAAACATGAGTTAAAAGAGCATACCCGTGTGAGACAGGAGACAGACAACGGATGGAGAAACTTTGAGGGCAACCACTTTGGAAGGACCTTGTACTTTGATACGCGAGCCCCCAACATGTTTACACTCTTCTGTAAAAATCGACAAACAATACAAAACAACATGAGCCAACCGATGGAAAAGGAATGAAGCAAGGAAAAAGAAAAAAGTGTCCAACCGATTTGAAGAATCCAATCGAGATCTGGATCCTGAACACTAGTCATCGGAGCCGACACTTAACTTCGCCACCACCAAATCTCTTCAGTTTTTTTTAGGTGCGTTAGACTTTAATATGGTTTTATTTTCCACTAGGGTTAAGAATTTAGATTTTAGCCTTTCAAAAAAGAAATAGATTTTAAATTCACGCCTGCCAATTTTTTTTAAAATTACATATCGGGGTGTATATGAGTAAATAATTTTATGAATCATTTGTGAACATTTTTTTTTTTTACTTATTAAGCTTTTTAAATAATTTTAAATCACATTTTTATATTAGATGTCAATGGATATTTTTATTGAATTTAAAATATAATTTTTTAACTTAAGATATCAAATAATAATATTATTATAAAACATATATTAAATATAAAATTAACTAATAATAAAATATAAATTTTTATATATACCTCTAAAAAATTAGAATAAAGCATCATAAAGATGCTTTTGCCTTTATATCGTATCTCATAAAAAAACTCGAACCATCTCAATTCGATCTTAATTTTAAAATAAAAAAATCCCTTATTGGATCAAAGGTAAATTAAAATCCGTCGAATATAGATTGTTGACGTATTTATCAATTGATACCTTTGTTGCAAATTTTATTTAATTAAAAAATGCATTACAAGGTGAAAATTATCACAAAAAGATCTTTATGGCTTTTTTTATACAAAATTAATTTAATAAAAAAAAGACATAAAAACAAAACAAAGGAAAAAAATAAAGATTGAAAAAAGAAAAAAAGGAGTTCATATGAATACTAATTGAATATTCTGATTAAGTTAATACTAATTGAATATTCTAATTGAGTTTAATATGCTAAATTAAGACAATTTTATTAATAAAAAATAATAAATATGCAAATTAAATAAAATAAGAAAAAAAAAAAAAAGATCATTAACATTCAAATTGAGTTTAAAATATTAATATCTTAAATTAAGAAATAAAATAATACTTTCTTAACATAATACATATATAAATATAAAATTAAATAGATAATACAATATTTATTTTTATATATACCACATAATGACTTGAGGTAAAACATCCTAAATCTACTTTTAAATCATATTCGATTTTTGTAAAAAAAAACGACTTGATTTGATTTGATATCAATTTTTTACAAAACACTTATATCGAATCGAAACAGATAGAAACTTATCAAATACTAATTGTTTTGTTATCTTTATCAATCGACTCATTTTATTGTAAAATTGATCTAATTAAAAAAATTAAAATACAAAATACAAAAGTAAACAAGCAAATAAAGTGTTATCTTAACACCTTCATTAACATTATTTTTTTATAAAATTTATCTAATTAAAAAATAATAAATAAAAAAAGCAAAAAGCAAAAAAATAAAACAAAAAGAAAGAAAAAATGCCTCATATCGAATCAAATTGGATTGAAACTTATCGAATATGAATTATTTTATTTATCCATTGGCTCTTTTTTTACAAAATTTATGTAATTAAAAAAAAAAAAAAAACCAAATTAGGATGTCATGTGAACATTTCCATTGGGTTTTATTTTTACAAATTATAGTGAAACACCGTGTTACCGAAGGAATACCAATTTTAAAGTTATGAAAGATTGGAGACTCTCTAGATATTGAAGGTATAAAGACATAATATACTTTCCAATTTGAAAATGCTCTGGTTCAGGAAAGACGAATAGATTGCTCGTGCAATCTTCACACATATGTTGTGGATTGACTGTTTGATGGTAAGTTGAAAACTCTAACTAAAGACTGGGATTAAAATGAATTATTATTCTCAAGTTGTAATAGTAAACTTGATGAGAGGTGAAGAAAGTTACTCTGTGGTGTTCTTATTTCCAATCACCTTATATCAGTAGAGTTGAGATTATCAGGAACACACCATAAACTTGATAAAATATGTGCTCAATGAGTTAATTAAAGTGGACGATCATGGCATTGTGAAGCAAATGGAGCTTGAAATGGGAGCTCAATTGTTGATACAATTTGGCATCTTAGTTGAGCTTAGTATAGTTGTGATGTAGGCCATATCAAGGAAGCAACAATCAATGAGATATTTGGATATGTAGATGTTTGGTTAAAGTGTGGCAGGTGCCATTATGTGCTAGTAGCATTGTTGTTATAAAATTGTTATCATTTTAGATCTACTATGGATTGTTGGCTTGGAAAAAGTAAGAGATTCTTTCAAAAGACGCTATTTTGAAAATAAAGGCCTTTGGAGAGTGTTGTTATGGTGGTCATTACTAGTTACTCTCAAATAGCTATTATACTATAGATGCATATGATTGAAGCAAGTATCACAAATTTTATGAAACTAAATATGATGAGAATGTAGTTTAGAAAGATTTTGACATGATATGGTTTTCACTCTTCCTAGAGATATGAGTTTGAACTCTGGGTGATAAATAGTTATGACCTTGTCTAGGATAAAAAGGATAATGAAAAAAGAGATAATGATCTCAGAAGTAGATGTGAAATAAGCTACATGCACCGAAGATCTTTGCGATATGACTTTAAAACAAGGATCGATTGATATGTTCTGTAATTGGCAAAATATTGTTCATACATAAATGTCAGTTATCACTTTGTTCATAAGCATCTATCACTAGGTGTTAGTGATGTAGGTAAAGGTCATTTTTTAAAGAAAATCTTGTTATTGTGTCCATAAAGGATATCCCTGATTGTAAGTTTAAGAGTGATTTAGATTTGGTTAAAATTTGTATGCAGTACGAATTTGCCTCAAGAGCAGGGGTGAAAGAGATGATTCAATTTTTAATAAATTTGTTGGCTTGAAGAATTCTTAAACCAAGGTGGATATTGTTAGGAAAATGGCTCGAAATTCTAAGACACTTTCTTTAACAAATTGTTCAGAAAGTGAAAATACCCAAAGTTGCAAAATTTAAAACTTGATATAATAATGCCACCATGAATAATAACGATGTCATAAACAGTGTTTGCAGCAAAAATAGAATATTGGCAACAGCAAACTTTGAAAAAGAAATTAATGTAGAAAAATTTGACACTCATAATACATGCAATAATAACCATTGCCTCGTGAACAATAACTATAGTAAATGTGAAAAATTTTGCCTATAAAAAGGTATAGGATTGAAAAGAGTAATGTGTGTCTCAAAACACTTAAAAGAGAAAAAGGTAATAAGGAGTGGGAGAAAAAAGTGTTAAAACTATAACCTTATACCAAAAGGTTTAATGTTTAGAAAGGTAACAAGAAAGGAACCGATTTTAAAAAGTTATGGGATAAAATAGTATAACTCAAGGGGTATAGGCTAGTGAGGATTTGTAGGAGTTTTTAGGGGATTAAACACTTGTACTCATCTTGTTTCATTATAGTGGAAATTTTTCATTGTCCCAATTCGTAAATGTAAATATAATGTCATACCACATAAATATTGGTGTTCTTATTGGTTTTTTTTTTCACATATTATTTTGACATGCATGTTTCCTCATTTTCTTAACATCTAAATCAAAGCTTCCATTATACCTAACAATTGGTAATAGAATATCCTGTCATGATCCCAATAAGCGATATTAGTTTATCCAGATCCTAACAGTTTCATTTATATCATTCTCATATGGTTTAAAATTATTTTATTTTTTAGTTATTTTATAATATATCATAAAAGGGTAGATATAAGACAAGCTTTTTTTTTCAAGCTAGAATAGACAAGTAATTGAAAAATATACATTTAAAAAAAATTATCTTTCAAGAATTTTTTTATTTGATGAATAAACATGAATATATATAAATATGCTACATTTGCGTACTCTAATGTAAATGGATGGTAGAAGTAAAAAAAATTTGTTGTTGTTTTGTGCTAGGATAAATAGCATCTGCAGTGTTGTGATGTGCAGGCTTGGAAAACCTAATCACTAGATGTTAGGGAATGGAAACACAGGTGTTATTTTTGATGAAAACCAAAACAAGAAGTTGCCACCAATATTTTTTAAGGTGTGATTGACCATTCAAAAATTATATTTTTAATAAAACATTTAAATGATTCAAAAGTTTTATAAAAAGAACACTTTAAAGTCTATGAAAATCATATTTTAGGTCCGAGAGTTATTATGCGTGAAAAAATATTAGCACCCCCACAGTTCTCATCGAAGATAGTACTAATTAATTATATGTTATCTAATATTTTGATAAAATTGGTCCTATTTTAATGTTTATAGATTAATTCCTATTTTTTCATGCTGAAAAATAAAATCTTTTCTTTTTTCTTTTAAAGCCAAATCATCTTTCAATTTTTTTAAAACAAAACAATTTCTTTTTGGATCAAGATAAAAATATATTAAACATCCACACATATTTTTCACTCTTATATATTTAGGTAGAACTTCGAACGTATCTCTAACTTAGGAATTTTCAAATTATTTTCATAAAACTGATATAATACTTCACATAAATAATAACCATTGAAAGTCTAATATACTTAGGTCAGATTTCAAAGGCTATATTTATTTGAGATATTATCTTGTTTTAAAGCACTTTGCTTTAAAAAACCTTATTTATAAGATCAAAGCGTGTATGCATGAACAAAATAATAATATGAATGCACTATGATGAAACATGAATGACAACTTAAAAATGCATGCAACAATTAAAGTAAAATGCAAATGCATGAATAAGGTCAAAGTTTGGTTTAAGAGTTTGAGGGTTGGTTTTGGTTTATAGGATTTGGTTTTGGTGTTTGGATTGGTTAAGAGTTTAGGTTAAGGTTTGAGGTTTAATTTAGGATTTAGGGCTTATTTGGGATCTAGGCCAGGGTTTAGGGTTTAGTTTACGATTTAGGTTTTGTTTGGGATCTAAGGCTTAAGATTTATTGTTTTAAGGTTTAGGGTTTAATTTAAGGCTTGATTTAGGGTTTAAAGTTTAGTATTTAGCTTAGGGTTTAGTTTAGGGTTTGATTTAGGGTTTACAGTTTAATATATTTAAGAGTTTGGGGTTTAGGGTTTCATGAAAAATGCATGTAACAAAAATTACAAAAATACCATTAATAAAAATGTAAACTTTCGTACATGGAAAATGCATGAACAAAATTACAAACAAAGGCACATCTAATAAATAAATTACAAACTAAACATGCAAGGGACAATGAGATAGAAATGGATCAAAATCCAGAGTTTTAAAAATTTGAAGACAT